TAAAACAGGGCAGGATCCTGGAGGCAGAAGCTGATGCAGAGGCCAAGGAAGGGTGCTAATTACTGACTTGCTTCCCCTGGCTAACTCAGCCTGCTTTCTCATAGAAACCACCAGCTTAGGAATGGCACCACCCACAGTGGACTGAGGCCTCCCCTAATGACCACTAATAGAAAGAAAGTCTTACAGCTGGATCTCATGAAGGCATTTCCTCAACTGAGGCTCCTTCCTCTCTGATGACTCTACCTTGTGTCAAGTTGACACACAAAACTAGCCAGTAGAGTACCAAATACATTTTATGAGGCCATTGTTACCGTGAAATCCAAACCACCTAAAGAACCAACAAAGAAAGAAAATTATAGACCAATTTCCCTTATGAACATAGATGTAAAACTTGTCAATAAAAGACCGAAAACAAAATCCAAGAACACATCAGAAAGATCATCCACCATGTAGGCTTCATCTAAGAGAAGCAGGGATGGGTTCATATACAAATATTAAGGAATATAATTTACCATATAAACAAAGAGAAAGGAAAAAATTTACATGATCATCTCATTAGATGAAGAAAAGGCCTTTGAAAAAATCCAACACCCCCTTCATGATAAAAGTCCTGCAGAGATAAGAGATACAAGGAACATTCCTAAATAAAATAAAGGCAGTTTCCAGCAAACCTACAGCCATCATCAAATTCAACAGAGAGAAACACAAAACTGTTCACCTAAAATCAGGAACAAGACAAGGTTGCCCACTCTCACCACCTCTATTCAATATAGAACTGGAAGTCTTAAATAAAGCAATAAGACAACTGAAGGAGATCAAGGGGATACAAAGTGGAAAGGAAGAAGTCAAAGTGTTTTTATGCAGATGATGCAATAGTATATGTAAGTAACCATAAAAATTCCACAGGGGAACTCCTAAAGCTGATAAACACTTTCAGCAAAGTGGCTGGATATACAATTAACTCACAAAAATCAGTAGTTCTCCTATGTACAAATGACAATAGAACTGAGGAAGAAAACAGGGAAAGAACACCTTTCAAAATAGCCTCAACTTATATAAAATATCTTGGGGTAAATGCTAACCAAGCCAGTGAATGACTTATATGATATAAACTTCAAGTCTTTGAAGAAAGAACCTGAAGAAGATATGAGAAAATAGAAAGACTTCCCATAGACATGAATCGGTAGGAATAACCTAATAAAAATGGCAATCCTACCAAAAGCAATCCACAGATTCAATGCAATCCCCATCAAAATCCCAACACAATTCTTTACAGACCCTGAAAAGACAATTCTCAACTTAAAATGGAAAAACAAAACACCCAGGATAGATAAAGCAATTCTGAATAAAAGAACTGCTAAAGGTCTCACCATTCCAGATTGCAAATTGTTCTACAAAGGTATAGTAATAAAAATTACATAGTATTAGCATAAAAACAGACACATCAATCAATCAAACTGAGACCCAGGCATAAACCCACACTCCTCTTGACACCTGGGTTTTGATAAAGATCTCAGAAATACACACTGGAGAAAAGACAGCTTCATCAACAAATGGTGCTGGTCAAACTGGGTGTCTTCGTGTAGAAGAATGCAAATTGATCTCTACTCATCATCCTGCACAGAACTCAAGTCCACATGTATAAGAGACTGTATGACTCTGCCCTGTGTAAACTGTTAGCTGCTGAGTGCTGAATGCTGAGACACAAGCCACAGCCAAACGCTCAGCGTCTCAATCCTCTTAGCAGAGTAAAGAGAGACAACTACGTTTGCACTTACCAACATGAGAGATTGCCCAATTGGAACTTCCAATGTTTCAAGATAAGATCTCCAAATTGTACACCCAACAATTTAGTTTTCCTTCATTCATATGGTATGAATTAATGCATACTGGGAAAGTACACAGAAAGGCACTCACCTTACCCACAATCAGAGCCTTCATTATAACACAGACACCTGCAGGACAATGACTTAAATAACCTCTAATCTAGCCTGTTTCCCCTGCAGTGTACATAATAAACTATTCTTTCTATTCTGGTCTCAATGGAGAAGATATGCTCCACACACAAATACTTTTTCCTGTTAGTGCAATGGACAGCCCACTCTGTGATTCAAATGTGTACTTTTAGGAGTGTGTGGAATTGAGAAGGTTGAGGCAGGAAGACAGCAGAGTCAATTCCCTATGGACCAAAACACTGGGACCAAGGCAAAGAGAGTCAACATAACAAACCTTGACTCAAACTATTTTTCTAGAAGCTTGAAGGTGCAACTGTTCTGGAATTAATATGCCTTCCTAATGAGAAATTGTGCCACACACTTAGAGATTAATTGAGAAGAGTCTCTTCAGTAGTTACACACCTCCAGCTCTACCTAACACACAAAAGAGGAGCTGGCCAGGAACAGATTTGCTAACTTATATACACCATAGGCTTATGCATTCCACATATGTTGTCAACCTGGAGGAATGCTGTTTACTGCCCTCTTGCTATCATGGCTTGCTCAGTTTGATTACTTATACACTTGGAATAAGAACCTGCCCAGGGTAGCACCACTACAGTGGGATGGACCCTACTACATAAATCAAGAAAACACCCTATAGATTTGCCAACAGGCCAGTCTGACTCTAACTTGTGTCAAGTTGACAAAATCTAACCAGCATACCTACCAAGTCATATTCCAAACCCCAAAGACAGATTGTTAAGCAAATCTCAACTCTCTTAACACTTGCTTTTCTGCTACAAGCCGCAAAAATATACAAAGTAGGATTTCAGCTGATTATGACAAAGCTAATACCTGGAAGAAGCCAAGGGTCTTCCAGAGGTCAAGCTGAAGCTCAAGGAGCCTTGGTGATATTTGGCTTTTGATTATCAGCCGTTTCCTGCTATGAGTTTCTTGTGTGCTATTGTAGCTTTCCCATCATTCATTGGGCACCATTTCCCCTCTACTAAAGGAATATTTAGATAACCTCATGCACTGACAGCTATGCACAGCCAGAACCCCAGTTCAAGCCTCCCTGTAATTATCTTCATTGGCAGCATCTGGCCAGGTCCATCCCCAGATGAAGGAAAGTACCTTATCAGAGATACCTCTGTACTCTCTAAGAACAGGCCTAAGCGTCCAGACTACCAGTTTGAGAAGGCCTAATGGATGTGTCAATTAAGCTTAAGTACCTTCTTTACCAAATCTTTCCTCCAGTTCCAGATCTCCCTATAACTATCACCAGAGGCATCTAGCTGTACACAGGTTGCCTAGCGACCAAGCACACTTTCCCCCACCCTGCAGAAAAACGGCAGATAGCTTGGACAGATAGGAGCCACAGGAAAAAAGAAGGCAGTTTTATTTCCCCTCATTGACCTAGCAACTTATAGATTCTTAACATTTTCTACCAATCACGTTGAAGATTATAGTTGAGCACATAAGATCCTGCTTCTTAGATATTACCCAAATTTGGCCTTTAGTTAATTCATTTCCCCATTAGTCACTTCCCTTTCGGGTTGCAAATGATAATTAATAATTACTGCCCCTCTTTGTGATTCTTATCACCCCTCCGTTTGACTCTGGAAGCCTGACTTTGCACTGTCAAGGGATTACTACTTGTAAGTGTATATATACTGGGACTCCCAGGGCACAGAAGGACAAAGAAGAAGATTTGGAAGAATAAATGACTGGACTAAGAGCTCTGTGTGCTGAGGTTCTATTTCCCAAAAACAGTCCTCACCGTTTGTAGTTTTCTCTCCTGAGCCCCTGGGATGTATAACATTAAAGCTAGTCCCTCTAATATTATACAAGACTTTTCGGCATATACTTGTGCACATACACACATAAACTGGTCAAGTTTAGGATTAGAAAGATGGCTCAGTGGTTACCACCACTTGTTGCTCTTGTAGAAGTCCCGGATTTGGTTCCCAACACTAATGGAGGATCTGATGCCTCCTTCTATCTTCTGTGAACACAAAACACACATGTGGTGAACATACATACATGCGAGCAAATCATTCATACACATGAAATAAAATACAGAAAAAATTAAAAACATATACCCTCATATTTTATGTCATCGGAGGTAAATAAGCCAGGAATACACAGAAATGTGAAAAATATCTGTAGCCAAAATTATAACTTTATAATTAAAAGAATTAAGGAACTGGATCAAAGGAGAGAAATTCCATGATTGTAGACAGGAAGCCTCAATATTATTTCAGTACAGAACTTGAGCTATAAATTCACCAACAGTCCAATACAAAGGTCTAACAATTTTTGCTATCAACAGAAAATTGATGAGAGAAGGTCATCATGAATGAAAAACTGGTCAACACAAGATTGAGTAAACAGCACACACAGTGACATGATCTGACTTCAAAACTCTTACAACTTCAAAACTCATACAACTGCAATAAAGACAGTACTACCTGGGAAACAATAAAGAAACCAACAGAGCATGAGAGCAAAGTTAGAAATAAAAAGCACAATTACTATAGAGTAAACCGTGTCACATTAGGCCAGGAAACCCAGTGAGTATGGCATGACTGACACACGTGAATGGATGGACTACCCTGGCATCCGCGTGCAAATGGGTTAATGACACAGACTTTATGCCCTGCAAAGAACTAACTGCAGACCGACCCTACACCTGAATGTTCAGGGCCAAGTGCAGAACTTCTAGAAGACGCTAGAGTGACCAGTGAGTGCTCTGTGAGGTAGCGAATTCGCCTTCTGTGGCGACGGTAAAAACAGCGCACGCGCGTGCACTGCATGGTGACGTCACAATAAGGAACTATTCACGCACAGTACTCATATCCCGGTGTTCTGTGCAGTCGCAGCTGCAGCCGCAGCCGCAGGTTGTTCAGAGGCCGCAGGATCCGGGAGTTGCAGGGACACCTCCAGGAACTCACGGACCTCATAGGGCACCGCCTCCGCCAGTTCCGCCGGTTCCCACAGCCCCGGGACCCCAAACCGGCTCCCGCGGGCCCTCCTGCGTGAGGACGGCGGCCCAGTGCTCACCATGGCGGATTCCGAACTGCCCAGCTCTCCTCACAGATCCCGGCAGCGGGTCACAGCGCAGCACTCGGAACCACAGAGCCTCCCTCAGTCTTGGAGCCGGCGAGCATGCAGCATGATGGACCGGAAATGCCCTCCCTTATTCTGACTAGCGGCCAAACTGGAAGCCCTGATTGGCTAGTGCGTCCTAAGTGACAGGTGCACCACCACCACCACCCCCCTTAGCGACGGTGTTTTGAAGGGACGCAGCACAGTGGTTCCCAGCTATGATGACCACTCCAAGTACAGAACTGTCCCAGGTCTGCAGAGATTGGTATGACAGCAGAACTTGCACCTGGAACTGGAAAGTCGTCCCTGCACCACTATTCATGCAATAAGTAGGCATTTCTTCTTCCTCCTGGGTACAGGTTATTATATCTCAAATCCACTACAAAGGCTGAGGTGCCTATTTAAGGTACTAAAGCAGACACTGACTGCCAAGTTCTCCCTGCATCCCTCAGTCTCTACCTGTTACAGGGTATGGCTTGCATCCCTACCCTACCCTGAACTAGTCCAGCACAGGGGCTGGACTGCCCTTCCCTATATAATCCAATCATTTTGGTTACCTGTTCTCTCTCTCCCTCCCTCCCTCCCTCCCTCCCTCCCTCCCTCCCTCCCTCCCTCTCTCTCTCCCTCCCTCCCTCCCTCCCTCCTCCTCTCTCTCTCTTTCGTTTTAAATTTCAAGTACTGGGAGTTGGTTTCAGGTCCTGGAGCATGCTAGGAAAGTCATCTGCACTGAGCTAACACCATAAGCACAGTTTGATTTTTATATAGCCTTGTTAAGTTGTCCAGACTAACCTTGAATTTGTTATTCTCACCCTTCAGCCTCCTAAATACCTAGGTTTGTGGGCAAATGCCTTTATGCTGAGATAAGTTTTATGGGTTTTACCCCAATTTAAAAAGATAGAGTGTTTAGGTGTTTGGGGGTGGGGGAGGAGAAGGGAATGGAGAGAGAAATAGAGAGGCAGAGACAGAGACAGGCAAAGACAGACTGCTGAGGGAGTGGAGTCAGGATGTAACTTTCAGGAGTTACTTTTCATCTATCATCATGTGTCCCAGGATTGCATTTAGGTAAACAGGTTTGCATGGCAAGCTCTTTTATACTGTGAGCCAAATCAGATCTTAAAATTGGTTCTTGTTAGAGGAATTGAAAGGATTAAACTGGGCAAGGTAGGTGCCTTTGGTGGGCACTGCCAAGGAATGGTGATAAGAGAACACAGCGTGTGTAACAGATCTAGTGTAAGAGGTTTGTTGAGATGGGGGGAAGGGGGGAGCAAAAGAGTGAAAGGCTGTCTCAGAGCAGCAGTGTGAGAGAGGCAGACAGGACAAACAAGAGAGCAAGAGAAGAGTAAGATAGCAGCAAGAGGAGCGAGTGAGTAGCTGTGGCTCACAGAAAGTTTTAAGGGGTGCTCATATCACACAGGGAAGTATGAAGTTTGCCTCAGCTAGCAGCAGGAGATGAAGAAGCCATTGCTGCTGCCACCACCAAGGCAGGCTTGTGGGAGCTAACAGGAGTGAAACAGGGAAAGGAAGAGACAGTGAATGACTAAGTTACTGTTAGATCACACACAAAAAAATGCCTTATACTACTGCAAATTGGGGTGATGATAGACAATGATAATGTACTTTTATGTTTCCAGAAGCTGCAGGAAAGCATTTGGGAAGTTGTCAGCAGAAAGAGACAAATGTTGAGATGATTGTGGCCTGATGTAAACATCAAATATGTTCACATGTTGAAATGTGACAAAGCTACTATTAATGTCCAGTTTGTATTAATTAAATTTAATTTTAATTAAAAAACTGACACTTCTTTGTATGTAAGATGAATGGTCCTTAGGGTGTGGAGTTATCACTCTAGTTTTCTCAGGTTTTCACTTAATTCTTAAAATATCCAGACTTAAAATATCCATCTCTAGGACCTAGGCCCTGGGACACAACCAGTCCCTGGGAACCCCTACTCATCACTGCCCCAGTTGCCAGCCAAATGGGAAGACACCTGTGAGCAGGCTCCCCCACCAAAACACCCCATTGGACCCGGCAATCTACAAGACCTACCCATCCTCCTGCAACCCAAGCAGCTTCCTGAGACACAGCATCCACCAGCTCTGATTGGACCAAGAGCCGGGATAGGACCAAGAGCAGCTCCCTGAGACACTGAATGCACCAGCTCCATTTAGACCAAGAGCTAAGATTGGGACCAGAGGGGTTTCCTGAGACACAGACACAGCAAGCACAGATTGGACCAAGATCAGCTCGCTTAGACACAGGCACATCTTCCACCTATTGGAGGAAGAGACGGGTGGACACCAATGCAAAAATGCATACAACAACATAAAGAGCAATATGGCATCACCAGAAACTAACACTTCTATAACAGCAAGACCTGAACAGCACAATGTAGAAGAAGCAGAAGAAAATGACTTTAAAACTAACTTCATGAAGATGATAGAGGTCTTTAAAGAAGAAATGAAACATTCCCTTAAAAATTGAGGAAGGGCAGTGGTGGCGCACGCCTTTAATCCCAACACTCGGGAGGCAGAGGCAGGCGGATCTCTGTGAGTTCGAGGCCAGCCTGGTCTACAAAGTGAGTTCCAGGAAAGGCGCAAAACTACACAGAGAAAGCCTGTCTTGAAAACCAAAACAAACAAACAAACAAAAAAAAAACCCAAAACAAAAATTGAGGAAAAGGCCAGGTGGTGGTGGCGCACGCCTTTAATCCCAGCATTCGGGAGGCAGAGCCAGGCGGATCTCTGTGAGTTTGAGGCCAGCCTGGGCTACAAAGTGAGTTCCAGGAAAGGCGCAAAGCTACACAGAGAAACCCTGTCTCGTAAAACCAAAAAAAAGAGAGAGAGAGAGAATTGAAATAGAAACAATGAAGAAGATGCAAACCAAGGGAATGATGAAAATAGAAATTCTAAGTAAATGGACAGGAACTACAGATGCAAGCATAACCAACAGAATATAATAGATGGAAAAGAGAATCTCTGGCGTAGAGGATACAATAGAGATAGATTCATCAGTCAAAGAAAACATCAAAGCCAAAAAGTCATAACAAAATGTCCAGGAAATCTGGGACACCATGAAAAGGCCAAACCTAAGAATAATAGGGAGAGTAGGAGGAGAAGAATACCAACTCAAAGGCACAGAAAATATATTCAACAAAATCATGGAAGAAAACTTTCCCAACTTAAAGAATGAAATACCTATGAAGATACAAGAAGCTTACAGAACACTGAATAGACTAGACCCCCCCAAAAAAAGTCCTCTCACCACATAATTAAACCACTAAACATACAGAATCAGCAAAGAATATTAAGAGCTGCAAGTAAAAAGGCCAAGTGACTTACAAAGGCAGACCCATCAGAAGAACACCAACTTCTGAACGGAGACTCTGAAAGACAAAAGGTCCTGGACAGATGGAATGTAGACACTAAGAGAACACAGATGCAAGCCCAGACTACTATACCCAGCAAAACTTTGAATCACCATAGACAGAGTTAACAAGACATTCCAAGAAAAAAACAGATTTAAACAATACCTATCCACAAATCCAGCCCTACAGAAAGAACAAGAAGGAAAACTTCAACCTAAGGAAGTCAGATGCACCCACGAAAACACAGGCAATAGATAACCCCACAGCAGCAAAACCCACAGAAGTGAAACACACACACTACTACCAAAAGATATCACTGGTCATTAATGTCCCTTAATATCAATGAATGCAATTCACCTGTAAAAAGACAGAGGCTAACAGAATGGATACAAAAACAGGATCCATCCTTCTGCTGCATGCAAGAAACACATCTCAACTTCAAAGACAGACACTACCTCAGAGTAAAAGACTGGGAAAAGACTTTCCAATCAAATGGACTTAAGAAGCAAGCTGGTATAACTATCCAAATATCTAACAAAATAGACTTCAAACTAGAATCAGTCAAAAAAGATGGAGAAGGACATTATATATTCATCACAGGAAAAATCCACCAAGATGAAATCTCAATTCTGAACATTTATGCCTCAAATACAAAGACATCCACACAGGTAAAATAAACATCGCTAAAGCTTAAATCACACATCAAACTCCACATATTACTAGTGAAAGACTTCAACTCCCCACTCTCACCAATGAACAGCTGTAGTGGGTAGCCATTCCAGCTTTGATCTGTAAGTTCCAACCCCCATTGAGGCTTCAGCAACTGTCACGCCTACAAGGTGGGGCCAAGGGAGGTGCCCAGAGACCCGAGATCTGGATGGGCCAGCACGCTCTCTGTTCCTGGACCCTAGACGGTGGAGGTTGACCGAGCAGAGCTCCAGACTGCGATACACCTTCCCCAGACCGCGCGACCTACCTATCCCTTCATTTGTAAGTTACCCACTAAATAAATCTTCCTTTTAACTACATGGAGTGGCCTTAATAATTTCACCAATAAACAGCTCTGCCAGACAGAAACTTAACAGAGAAATAAGGGAATTCACAGATGCCATGACTCAAGTGAACTTAATAGATATTTACAGAACATTCCACCCTAACACAAAAGAATAAAACTTCTTCTCAGCACCCCATGGAATCTTCTCTAAAATTGATCACATACTCGGTCAAAAAGAAAATCTCAACACATACAAAAAAAAACCCTGAAATAACCTCCTGTATTTTATCAGATCACCATGGCTTCAAGTTAGATTTCAACAACAACAAAAACTACAGAAAACCTACAATCACAAGGAAAATGAGTAATGCTCAACTGAATCACCAATGGGTCAAGGAAGAAATGAAGAAATTAAAGACTTCCTAGAATTCAATGAAAATGAATGTACTACATACCCAAACTCATGAGACACTATGAAAGCAGTACTAAGAGGAAAATTCATAGCACTAAATGCCCACATAAAAAGTTGGAGAAATCTCACACTAGAGACTTAACATCACATCTAAAAGCTCTAGAACAAAAAGAAGCAAACACACAGGAGTAATAGATGCCAAGAAATAATCAAATTGAGAGCTGAAATAAATAAGAGACAAAGAGAACAATACAAAGAATCAATGAAACAAACAGTTGGTTCTTTGAGAAAATAAACAAGATAGACAAGCCCTAACCAAAGGCAGAAAAAGAACATCCAACTTAACAAAATCAGAAATGAAAAGGGAGACATAACACTAGATAACAAGGAAATACAAAGAATCATCAGGTCGTACTTCAAGCACCTGTACTCCACAAATTGAAAAATGTAAAAGAAATGGGAAACTCCCTGGATAGGGATCACCTGCCAAAATTAAATCAAGACCAGATAAACAATTTAAAAAGACTTTAATCCTAATGAAATAGAAACAGGCATTAAAAGTGTCCCAACCAAAAAAGCACAGGACCAGATGGTGTCAGCACAGAATTCAGCCAAAATTTCAAATAAGAGCTAATATCAATACTTTTCAAATTGTTCCACATAATAGAAACAGAAGGAACATTGCCAAATTCTTTTCATGAGGCTACAGTTACCGTGATACCCAAACCACACAAAGATGCAACAAAGAGGATTACAGACCAATCTCCCTCATGA